TATAACTGTAATGGCAGCCAGTAGCTCATAGCTTGTGACATGGTATGATGTGTCTCTGATAGGATATGTTTTTGTTTATTATTATGTCATGTGTTTTATGGTGTGGACTTGCCAACTTTTTTCTGGATCAGTCCAAATACATCAAATTGGTAAAAATGCTTTAGCCAAAGTGCATGTGCATCGGTGGTCACCATAATAATGCTGGCAGCAAGGAAAGAGGCAGGAAATAAGCCTGTATTCTTCCCGTTGATAGGTGATAGTTTGGGGTTTATTTGAATCTTTTGACCTAACTTTGTGTTGGTTCCCTCCTTTTTTCCTCTTTGAATTTTGTGTATTGTTTTTACCTTAAGCTTCTTATTCATTTAGCATTTTAGGTTCTTGCCATACTCTGTTATTTTTGCCTTAAGGGGTTTCCTAACTGGTTTCTTTAACTTTTGCCAGATTTTTCTGGCTCATTTTGCTTCCTTATTTCTTAGAGGTTTTAGTTGGTTTGGAAGCTACTTTCTCCAGTGATCATTCTTGGTTTGTTTGATTCAGTCTTAGTTTATTCCTTCAAGTGTTTATCGCTGTTAGACCATTTCTCACTCTGCCTTCTGTTAATTAGTTATTAGTTAATTCCCTGCACCTGCATTTCTGCATTCTTTCAACAAGTTGCACCTGTTTTATGCTCTAACCAAGGTCTCAGTCATCTGCCAGAATTCATTGGGTCTGCAGCATTGGGTTCCCTGTCCCCTCGCCTGTAACCATTTGATCGACTTGGAAAGAAAGGGAAAAAACAAATACACAAAAAAAACACTTAATAAAGGGCTTCAGAGTCATGATGCTAAGTATTAGTTCTGGTTTACATTTTACTTCAGGAAATCCATTTTTGATTTTGGGAGCTTGCAATGGTTGGTAACTGATGTAAGGAGTAATAAGGGCCCTGATTTGATGTATTCTGACTGAGACTGTATCTTTCAAATAATGTCGGGCATCCCTATAAGCCAATTTTATGCAGAAAGAATGAATGGTGTTTTATAATAATACTACCTATAATTTACAGTATGTAAGTGGTCAGAATAAATGTTTTTAGTAGTGGTTTAACTGGTTTAATGGGATATTGTAATTGAATGATTCATAATTATTTTGTGTAGCACAAGTCAGTGCTTAATATTTTTCCAATAGACTGCTGGAGATAGGCACTGGCCCCACCATGACCCTGACGGATGAAGCGGGAAAAGATGGATGGACACTGCTCAGAGGTAATTATTAGGCAAAGTATTAATGGAAGCCCAGATACATATATCTTAGAATATAAAATTAAAGTTGACTTGGTCGGACACTAATAACCAGCTGATGTATGCCGTTGTTCTATCTGGGCCAGAAACAAGATGTATCTGAGATTTTTTTTTTACTCTGAGCAAATAATGAAAAGAACATGAATGTGCTCATGTAAATTTGTGTCAATGCTTAAAAAAATATAAATATATCTTAACATCTAATATCTAAACAGTGGGCTACAGTGACGTTGGATGTAGGAGTTTGCCCTGAAATCAAAGGGTTGACGGCTCAAGCCCCCCTGGCTCTGGCTTTCAGTGTCATCGTGTCCTTGGGTAAGACAATTCACCTCCATTGTCTACTGATGGTGGTCGGAGGGACTTGTGGCGAACGTACGGCAGCCTCGCTTCTGTCAATGAGCCCCATGGCAGCTGTGGCTACAATTTTAGTTTGTCACCATCAGTGTGTGCATGAATGGGTGAATGACTGAATGTAATGTGAAGTGCTTTGGTCAAGTATCCTGACTTGAAAAATTGTTACATAAGTAGAGGCCATTTACCATTTAAAATACATGTTTTGAAATGTAAGTCACCCAGTGTTTAGACGACTTTGTTTCCACTGCCCATCAATACCTGTTGGTGACATTCAAAGAAAAAACACTAAAGTGCACATGTTGTAAAATCAAAAACTAGAGGTAGAGGTAGACTAGAGGTAAAAACAAATGGGGTAAAAACAAATAGTTTGTGCCATAAAACCCCAATGCCTATTTTAAACTAAACAAAACCTAATTCTGGGTCTCAAGAGGATATATTGTTTGTTTGTTTAGCACAGAAACGAAAGTTTAATATAATATTTGCATTTTGGAAATTTTTAAGTGAATGAAGACTTTTAATTTATCCTTGTGACCATATTAATTTGCTGCAACAAATGAAACACAACCTGACCAGTGACAACAAAGCTTTGCTTTTTGTAACTCGTAGGTGTTTCATTTTTTTTTAATAGTTCACTTTGAAACAAATATATTTTTTTTACTTCTTCAGACATCTTGATAAAGATTAGAGTCATGTAACAAAGCAGGCCTATTTACTTTTAAAAGATGTGTATGGAAAAGACTTATAACTATTACAAAATAGGTGCTATTAGATATTTGCCTGTTTATTAAACCAACATGGGTTCTTTTGAATCCAGCAGAAATGTTAATGCAACAGGTCTAAAAGCAAACATAGATTAACTTAAATCTCCTTTAAAGATTTTTTGAAAAGCCACATAGTTTTTCTCACTATAACTTATTATATTATTTAAAAAGATTTTATCAGGTATATAAAGACAGATTGTCTCTTCACATATCCCAGTGAACAATTTAGAAATCTAAATGGTTGAAGAAATTTTAAACCAATAGATATGAGATAAAACATATCTTTAAGTGTTGAAAACAGAGTTTAAGCTGCATTCACATTTTATAAATGAATCAGTGTTACAGTTATATATTCTTAAATTCTAAAAAGTAGATCACAGATAAATTAATCATCCATTTTATGGAGGGTTTCATTGTTTCTTCTTTTACATTAGTATGCATCTAAATATGTTGACCCTAGGGATGCATGGATGATGAAAAGAATTTTTTGTCCATTGTTAACACTTCCTCAATTGGATAAGCAAATTAGTCACTCTAACTGCTGAGGCTTTGTGTCTTTTTTAAGTTTTTTATGTGGCTTCATAATTTTCTTCATTGTGAAAATTATGTGATGATCACACAATGTGCTCTGGATAAATCATAATGTGTGAAACATGAAACTGACAAAAGGGCACAGTGAGATGGAGATGTTTTTCGATTTCGGGTCTAAATGCCTTCTTTATTAAATTACAAAAAAGCAAACCCACCTTAAATTAACCATTATTACTAAAGTGCAATGTGTGCAGTTGTGGGTTTTTCTTATCAATGCCACCATGGCCTTGTAAGATGTCACATACCCTATGGTAAATACCAAATGTCCTAGATATATTCAAGAGACTTATTTCCAACCACTCTAATTATAAGTGATTAATTTTTCTGCAGAACATGTCATTTTTAGTCCTATAGAGATAAATGTATTATATTTAAACTTTTTCTGTCATGACTTCTTATGTCATTTCATTTTCACTTTGTTTGTTTTAGGCAGTGTAACAAACATATAACACTTGATGAAGGTAAACTTTCCTTGAGTTTTAAAGTTACTCAATATTACATACAAATGTCATAAATATTCATCTTGAATATGTATTTCTCTGAAAGATCCATTTTATTTAGCCAACTCCTGACTATTTTGCATGCAGGGAGTCTTGAGAGCTTTTGCATTGTAATTGCAATTACAGATTAAGTGCTTGATGGTGAAAGCATAATGAAGGAGAATAGTAATCGACAAAGTAATGTTTAACTGAACTTACAACTACTGAACTTAAAACTAATAGAAAGAACATGTTTGTATTTTGTTCCATTTACTCTAAAACATCTAAATCAACCATAATAAAAAACAGCTGCCTTACATTATATATGTTGCATATTTGTTTAAGTGTTTTTTTGGATAACAACAGTGAACAAAAAGCAAGTGTCCAAGGTGCACACTAGCCAGATCAGAGTTAATGTTGTGAAAATTTCTAAAGCAGAGTTATGTATAAATGTTTTCCAAGCTTTGAACATAACCTATTACAGAGTACTGTTCAAGTCATAATCTACAACCACAAAAGATAATGGTGCAACTGCCAACCTCAGCTTTTGACCATCATCCTTGTCTGAAATGCTGGACAAGAATGGTATCAATCAATATAACAGCTAAAAGTCCCATGGAGCCAAAAAAAATCAACAACACAGGGAGGGGAATTTAAAAAAAACATAAAAAAAAAAAAAAAAAAAAAAAAAGTTAGTGCTTTACTCCACAAAAAAATGTCTTTTTAAAATGATTATAAGAATAAGGCAATTGCTGATATAAAACCAAATTAAGTTCAATTTATAGATTGCTGAAAGCAGTCTATGGGCCACAGAACAGACCAAACTGTACATGTTGCTTAAATGCAAAGCTGGTGGAAAACTAAAACTTGACTGAGATTCATGCACAATGATGTACAAGAATGGCTCCGTTAAATTTTAGGACTACATTCTATTTAACATCTGTGCTTAGTCTTGAAAATATATGATCACAAACTGAGCCAAGCATTTTCTCCTGTGGATATACAAGGCTGATAGAAGCATAGGTGGAAGCATAGCTCAAAAGACTTGCAGCTGTAATTACAACAGAAGGTGGCCCAGCAAAGTATCGACTGAGGTGGGCTCAATATAAATGCTCAAACATACCAATCGCATTTTCATTTGTAGAAAAAAATTTTCAGAACTATAACAAGTACCAAGGATAGAAAGAAGTTTGCAGCTGAAGCAACTTGTTTTAAGCTGCAAGTAGTTTTTGTAAGGCCTTGTATAAGTACTGAAGTATGTGTGTGTG